ATTTCTATGAGTTATACAGCTTCGGCTCTTCTATTTGTTTTATAATTTATAATAAAACATCGTTAGTACCAGTTTTCGGGTGTCCACTATGTGCCTGTCCATTGAAGTCTAATCGGCCACATTTAAATTCACTAAACCGATTTAATACTATTGGTCGTAAAGGAGCACCACTTCTTGAGAAATTTCTTATATCAGTATACATTATATGTCCGTTCAATCTGCCTGTATGCAAGTACTTTTGGATGTTTTCCATTTCTAAGACAACATGAAGTACATCTACATCTAACCACTGTTATGTAATTTTTTTCATACCGAATCAGCCGCGCAGGTAGAAGCCTGAATGCCGGGGCACCCAAAGAAATTTTTTTAATACGATTTCTTAACTGCCTGAGGTTAGTAGAACTGGGAAAAGCTTCCTCCATAATCTCGACACCCTCGGGACAAAGGAGTGGTCGTATCAGCAGGTTCTGGATGTACGAAGTTCGACACGATTAGGATGGGAGGACAAAGTCAGGCGGGTCTGTCGGGCAGGCACATCGCGCGGCGGCATCATGGAAGAGAGCTTTGAGAAGCAAAGCCCGTTGGTGTAGCGGTAGAAAAGAGCTAGATCGCCGACGGCCCGCCAGTGCGGAAGGGTCCCGAGACTGTCTGTAAGAGAAGAGTCATCGTACCGCCCTCCTTTAGACAGCACCGAGCATAAATAATGTAGTCGGGGCGGCAGCATCCCAAATACTAACAACTTACAAAAACCTCTGTAGCATTTATGAAGACGGATCGTGGCGCCATTTAAATCCTTTTATGAGGATTTCGTTTTATTGTAACACCAAAATAAAAATAAATCTTCCAAGAATAACTGATCATTCACTGTAAATATAACGCAATGTTGAAATAATTAGGTGAATAGTGAATGACTCATTACACACCATTTTTAAATGATCTTGTTAATCCCTAATGTAGAGATAAGGCTCCTAAGTCGTTTTTTTAATATAAAAACCGATTTTGCTTTGAATCAACTCTCTCTAAAAATAATAATCCGTGTAGTACCTATATCAAAAGTGGCAGTTTTGGCATTTCATTCTTATTAGACAGGTAAGTGATGTTTATCTGAGAGTAGAAAAAGTAAAGCTTTGAGATACATTAACATTTTATTCTCGATTTCATGTGATCTAAATGTTCAGTTATTAGAGGCAATAAAATCCAAAATTCTTGTAATGGCGTCAAGTAGGTTGACTTTGCGCTTCCCACACGACGCCGTTATTCAGTTATAACGGATTACTTTCATCACAATTTAGAGTCTTTGAGATACAAGTTACGAATATGTATAACAAAGAAAATAAAACGGATCAAGTCGGTCAAATAGGCACACACCATTAGTCCATAGACCTTTCCTGACCTATCGGTAGTCCATCTGGCAACGTCACCCCACCCCGATACCTGACCGCACAACGCGTGAGATGCGGCAGCGTGGTAGTAATGCCAGAATACTTACCAGAACTGACACGCCCTCCGGTGATCCCAGACAGCAGAAGAAGGGACGTGTATCGAAAGCATTTCTCTATCATTCTAAGAGCAAATGTACGGAGAAGTCTATGATGTGTGAAATACGTCTAATAGGTGCGAAGAATTACTGAGGTTGGGAGCGTATAAATAGACTAACATCAAAAAAATGAGATATACCTTCCCCCACCACCCGATTTTTCACACCTGAAAAGTTTTACAAAAACGATCAGGATTCTCTGAAACGCCAAAAATCGAAGTTTGAGCGATCGTTATTTTTTTTTTCGTTTTTGGCACTTTTCTCCGCCGCCAGTGGAGCTATTTTCAAAAACTAAAAAGCTGTTTTCACCCTTGCTATAGTAGTAAGCTTGTGTGAAAATTTCTTATCAAGTTATAGCGGTGTCAAGGATTAGCGGACAACAGTGAGAAAAAGTGATCACTAAAGACTCGTACCCTGATTTACATGACATAGAACAGAATAATGTTATCTTAGGAGCCTGAACATCTCCTTATATCAATCAATCCGTCAATCAATTAATTAATCCCAGTAGACAGGAGAACAAGTATAACAAACATTACAAGAGCAGTATACAAAATAAAACATTAATCAAAATATAAGGTTAACTCATACCATCATCATAAAACATTAACGGAAATATTCGTCAGCGGAATAAACTTCCTTCTTGAACGTTTTAAAAAGAAGTGTTTATAATATACTAAGTGACATATAAATCCGAACACCCAGTTTAAATGGTTTTATTTTAATAAAAGTTCGTGAATGTATTTATCTTACTGTAAATAACAAGTGAAAAAATTTTCAGCCTTATCAGTTGGACATTCCGGTTTTTATACTGCTTTTTTTTAATTCACTAACGCTCTAAAAATGAATATTTCAGCCGCAGTAAAGAATCAACGTTGGCGGATTTTGGTTCTTGACATCCTTTACGATCGGTTACGATGCCTAGAGTACGGAGACCTGTACGATTTCGTCAACTTAGTGAGTTTGATAGGGGCCGTATAGTGGGACTTCGGGAAGCTGGACTTTCTTTTCGGGCAATTGCAGTTAGAGTGCAAAGAAGTGTAGACACTGTGGTTAGGTGTTGTCAGGCATGGCTTCGAGAAGGCCGTACGCAAAGAGCAAGGGGCACTGGACGCCGCCGTAGAACAACAGACCGTGAAGACCGCCGCCTAAGATTATTGGCCTTAAGGGACCGTTTCTCCACTACCAGGTCCATTGCAAATGAATGGTTTGCAGAACACGGAAGACCTATTGGCATGCGAAATGTTTACCTACAAATGAGAAGTTTTGGCTTGTTTTCATACCGGCCACACTGGGTCCTCCCTTTAACTCGAGAACACCGACGTAATCGCCTTGAGTGGTGCAGACAACGGTCACTCTGGGATCAGGAATGGAACAGTATTGTCTTTAGTGACGAGTCTCGATTTTGTTTAGGCATGCACGATGGTCGTGCCAGGGTTAGAAGGCGACGTGGTGAAAGGAGGAATCCACAGTTTTTTGTTGAAAGACATGTTCATCACACTGTTGGAGTTATGGTTTGGGGTGCTATAGCTTATGGTTCCAGGTCACCTTTAATCTTCACCAGAGGTAACATGAACGCGCAGCGTAATATCCACGAAGTTCTAGAACCCCATCTTTTACCCTATCTTGACACCCTGGCAGATCCAACTTTCCAACAAGATAATGCCCGACCACATGTTGCAAGAGTCACAATAGACTTCTTTCAACATAATGATGTCACATTGTTACCATGGCCACCAAGATCTCCCAACTTATCCCCAATTGAGCACGTGTGGGATATGATGGGTAGGACATTGCTCAATTTGCAACGTCCTCCTCAGACTCTAGAAGCACTTCGAGAGGAGTTGGTGGTTGCCTGGAATGAGATACCACAGGAGGACATTGACCACCTGATCAGAAGCATGCCTAGGCGCGTTGGAGAATGCGTAGCACATCAGGGTGCATCCACACATTATTAGAGGTCAAAAGGCTTTAAAGCAGTGCAATCATTTTGAAATTTTTATCATTTACTTATTATGCTTCATTAAGTACTTATACAAAATTTTATTAAAATAATACCATTGTTGTTCGGATTTGTATGTCACTTAGTATAGTTGGGGAGTTTGTTGAATAAGAATACGCAGTTGTAAGTTGACAGAAATCTTGCAAAATGTTTGAAAGAAATGTTTGGATTGAGTATCAGAAGGTATTCTTGTAAGTATTCTTAATGCTCTTTTCTGAATGATAAGTATTCGTTGTGAATTATTCCAACTGCACCATAAGAGAGTGGCATATTTATGAGCAAAATAAAATAAACGTAAAATATCGATATTCACTGTTTTTTTTTATTCACTATTCTAAAATTGTTTAAGAACAAAGCAAAATTTTGGCATTTTGTTGGTAAATTTTCTAAATCTGCGCCTAAAAGAACTGTTGATCGGTAATTGTGTGCAACAGATAATGTTAAATTTATTTTTAATCTGGATACTGTCTCGAAAAAATTAACAAATTATATATAATGAATACGATTTTTTTATAAAATTGTTTTCATGAAATACCGTTATGATATAGTTATGAGTAAAATCACCAAAAACTGCATGGAAAAAAAGCTTGAGAATATCGAATATTAAGACAGCTTCGAGATTTCAACAAAGATTATGACGAGTTTAGGTTTTTAATCCGAAACTGGCACTTCCTGAGGATCAAACCGTACATGCATTTTATACAGTATGTTACCGCAACAACGCGTCATACGACAATAATGGCCCGATGCTGCCTGTCCAGTGGTCCGTGTTTTGGCAAAATGAAAGATGGAGGATTGAGTTGTATCAAGTCTCTCCACCAAGGGGACAATACCTAGCTCGTGTTAATTTTTACATTGCCTGTGGCAGTTGATTCTTTAGTATTGGTTGTAACAAACTTTATCTTCAAATTTTGATTTTAATGTAATCGATTTATATACCGCAATTGCCAGATCTGGAACGTTTACACAATAAAGCTTTGAAATTAGTGAAGTGTAATATCCTATAACAAAATCACTATTTGTCACTCATGTTTATGTTTGTTTCCCGGAACTCCTTGTTTGCTTCTCCTACAAAATCTTGCATTTATGTTTTCCACCCTGTATTTTAGAACAGTGAAAGAATAAAAGCTTCTTATGTGATTTGGTCGTAGAAGATATTTCCCTGCATATATTATTTAGTAGACATCACTAAGAGTTGCGTAGTGACAAGCGCAAGGTATGATGCAACTATCGCTGATCTTAACTAAAAGTTCGCAACACAAAAACTGATTATAACGAAAACTTAATCTCTATTTTACAAAATACCGGGCTATGATGGCCAGCCCTCTCACATAGTATGACTTTTGATCTACCAATATTAATATTTCAATTTGTATAAATCAATTATACTCTATAATTATTATCAAGAAAACATGATGTATAAAATTGTGAAACGTTGTTTGATTCCATCAGTTTACTTACAGAACCTGCAGGGTTCTGACGCGGGTAACACCCTTGAGAAGGTCTAGAACTTATGTTGTGTGTGCCGATTTGTGAAGGTTCAAGTCGTAAAACGCCCCCGCACGAAGATTTTTCGAGGATCGCAAGGTAATGTGATGTAGCATGTGATTCTGCTGGAATGTTATCAGTATCACTCCTTGTTTTGCTGATAGTGCAGTCATGAATGATAGCAGGCAATACTTGTGTCGCCCTTGCTCTACTGAATATTGATAGTGGTTCTAAAATTAGTAACAATATGCTTTTGGATTAGTATTTTTGAAAAAGGCTCTGCAAATAATATACTGCAGATATCTCAAAAGGCTATACCGGAAAGATTTTCACCTAGAAGGGAGAAAGCATAACGGGAGAACCCCTTGGCTTCGACGTATTCAAGGGACAACGAGACTCAGAATATTACATAGAAACCCTAAATTTAATATAGCAGTAATCTAGTCCAAAATATGCATTGTAAAACTGTGTCCTTTACATTATTACGGGACATCTTCTCATTAAGCCTGATTACAGGAAATGGCACTGTGGTCAATGAACCTCCACCTCATTTTGATACTACCCTGTTTATTTGTTTTTCATTGAAACTTTATTTCTGTGTTGGGAGCTAGTAACCATTGTTTTTTCTTTCCCTTTATTTTGAAGTTCTATTCCATGTAAGGCATTCCTTCTTACGTAACTTCAAGCATAAATCCTATACCTCTTTAGAGAACAAAAAATTTGGACACCTGAATGATAAGGGCCTAATCAAGACAAACGTTTTGCATGTTTTGGGGGAAAATGTGGCTTCTCTGTATAACTCATTCACTTTTTAGGATACAAGGGACAAATTTGAAAATGCGAAAGGGAATGAGTTAATGCAGAGCATTGTTATTCGATTTCTTTTGTAACAAATATTCAGTTTTCTGTAAAAGACATTGTCGAACCGTTTTTGATTAAACTGGATAAGGTAACCCAGTTTACTCTATATTCTGTGCACATGCATCATAACGTCCAATGATAACTAGAGTATGTAGGTACATACCTATCCATGATTTTTGGTAGGTCTGTTTGAACGAAATCTACTTGTTAGTTAATAAGATGTGAAATTTGTTTAAATGCTTTAGTGTTAGTTCGAAAGACAAACACACATAACCACGACATGGTCTGAAATTGCAGTGACGTAATCATCACTGTTTATTGACGGTTAAAAATATCGAAAACAAAAGATACAGTACACTATAAGTGGAAAGTTTTGTAATATTTTCATCAGAGTGTTGACACTGATCTACACGGTTCGAAGCCCCATGCGTTTCCAAGAATGATTCCATAAGTTATTTTTTTATATTGAAATCGATAGAACAATTAATGAGTTTACTCAATAAATAGGAGAATGCTAAAAAACTAACAGATGGGTGTATGTGGATCGGTATGACGGATCTTCGTAACAAAAAAATATCCAACACTTTTGCAGTTGAAGATATCTTCCAGGCACAAGTTTTATAAGAAATAAAACATGTTTCGCGATAAAAAATTAATAAAATCCTCATAAGAAATACTTTTAATGAATTCCTGTACTAGGTTCACGTGCTGAAATTCCAATTTTAGGTTTCGAGTCAACCTACTGTTAAAAATAGGCAGGTTTGCCAATTATATTCAGTAAAGTGATATTTTTAACCTACAAGTTGTCCGATAAGCTTTTGATAGTCTTTTCCATTTAACTCGTGATTCAGTGGAATTATTCTGGTATATTTATAAATGTTCCACTCGCTACAGACGCAATTTCACGTGCTGTTACTTCTTCACTGTTTATTGAACTATGTTTGTTTACTATAATATAAAACTGATGCCTAACTAAACATGTTGGTCTCGATCTTGGTTGGAGCTTAAAATTTGCATTTTTAGAATGATTTTGTGTAAAATTTTGGAGATTCTTAAGATTTGCCCCCCGTATGAAAATTTGCTAGCCCCTCGCTCTTCAATAAGTTTTGGGGGCAGGCATATTTCCGCACTAAGTTATCTCATGCCAATGATTCCCCCCCCCTCCCCCGCGAATCAAATTTCCACAGAAACAAGAATTAGAGGAAACATAAAATTACGATTCTTTATTCACTACTCTACACTGATGAGCATTTAAAAGAATAGAATGGTTACAGCTGCTACTTCCCTTTCTTCAGGATCAAATTGATTTTCAACATTGTTGTTATATCAAAATTCAGAGAATATCTCTCATTATATTGAAAAGTAAAAGAGTTCTTCAATGTCTTGTAAATAAAGCTCATCAAAAAGCTACACATCATGTTCCAATATTCAGTCATCATCAAGCTCATATTGCCCAAGATGGATTCAAACGCTTTTGTAGAAAAGTTTAATTTCAACTTCCGTAAATATGTCCTCTTTTTGTTCTGTAATACTTTTAAGCTATGCGCTACATGAAAAACCTGGTAATTTGAAGGGCCTTTATGAAAATTAATATGTTCCTGGGCTTTATTAAATAGTTTAGGAATGCTTTTACCCTGTGGAATGAAGCTTGGAGCTGTTTTTTTTATCCATCATTTTATGACTAGATAGGCATGCACTACATGCTATGTTGTTTTAGCGATATTCTCCCTTATATACCTACTGTGGTTGCACAAAACTGAATTCTCAATAAATCTTCAGGGGTAGATCTAACAATCTCTTTGCGATAAAAGTACAGGCTCCTGGGCAAATATGTCACGTGTTTGAATGATTCAAGCAAGCATCGAATCACCTTTAACCTATAGAAAAAAATTTAAACCAAATAGCTGTAGTTTCCTAAATTGACGTGAAATATCCCACTGATAGCAGTATATCTCAGATAATTAGCTTAAAAAGTAACTACTATATTTAAAATATTTATCGACAAATCTAACAGTGAAGATAATAAATGAACTAATTCTGTGATGTAAAAATAACCCAAGATAAAACGCGGAAATCCATATTTTAAGTATAATCTATAAATGGGACAACCAAATATGGAAAGCGGCAGATAGCTGGGTAGAAGCATTTACTCATGTAATCTCATGCAAAGGAATTGCGAAAAAAGAACTTAAGACCAACTCAGTTATACCAGAATATATTGACTAAAATAAAGTCTGTTTTGCATTATAGAGTTATATATTAATGCTACCTATCGTATTTCATTAGACTATCCTACACTATATAGTATAGACACATTTTAAGCTTATAAAAAGAGACAAAAGACAAAGCATCCGGGGAAAAAGCTATGAATAAATTATAGGACATAATTCATGAACGATAGGATACTGAAATGCACAGGTATTCCGTAAAAGCAAAAATAATTTCACTAAATTAATATATAGCCATGGTGGTTATGCATTTACATTAGAGTGACAAACCGTTTTTCTGCTATTCTCGGTGTAACTAGAAGGAGGAGCTCCAGCTTATCTAGCAACAGGAATAGGATCATTTTTCGTTAAAATGTCTCACCATACTCACCACTAAACCAAGACCTCCGTTTTTTAATTAAGGTAACTTTACAGTAATGATGTCACAAACCAGAATTCTGAGGGAAGCAGCTTGAAGTTGTCCCCAGTTTTGAACATACAGAGTTTTTCTGATCAAAAATGCTCAAAAGGGTAAGCAAGACGTCTAAATAGCGGTAGATCTACCGTTTTGAGCCTTCGGATTTCTATCGTTTTTTTTATCGCGCAAATCTGATCCTGCAGGTCAACCACAATTTCAAATTAATTTCATAAAAATGGCGTCAAATAGATTTACTCTGAATTTCCCACGCAATTGACTTTTTATATGCACTATGTATAATATCTGAGTCAACTGTTATATGCTCAGCAATAGAATAAAAAAGCATTGTTGATTTGGCAAAAATTGAATACATGTTGTATCTAACACAACTTTTTTACGTTCGGGTAGGTTCTGGACGGTTATGGAAATCCTTACAGCTGATCATGATCAATGTGGCTTTAGAAAAGTAATTGTGAGTTAATTTTTTTTTATTTATGAAATAATCAAGGACAATTTCATGCCCTAATATTACTTGCTTGAAAAAAAATGAGATTATTCATTTCACAAAATATCTTCGTATTCGCAGAAGGCTAATGAGCGTATATTCGTTATTTCACACCTGACTAACTACAGCCCTAATGTTGCCATTCTGATTATTCATATTCAATATTGCTGTGGTAGTCGCAATACCTCTATGAGTCATTAAGGTAAAGAAATATGCATATGCCGAACAGATGCGTAGAATTGCTAGAGTCAGAAATTAAACAGCCGCCAAAAAATTCCGATAAACCCTTCCCCGCACGTACTACAACCTCCCACCCCCAATTTTTCACCACTAAATAACCTTTTAAAAATGATCAGGATCTGTCAAAGAATCAAAGAAATGACGTTTGAGCGATTTTTATTTTCTTTTTTCCGGGTTTGACCCTTTTTCCAGCCGCCACTGGGCCGATTTACAAAAACTACAAAACTTTTTCATCCTTGGCAATCTTCTGTGGAAAGTTCATCAAAATCCGAGCGATACTTTCCAAATTATAGACGGGCCTTTTATATATATATATATATATATATATAACATCCAAAAAACATCTCATTTTCGAAATATTTCGCGATTACAATACTTCCTCGCCAGTAGTAGTGGGAAATAAAAAGGAGCATATATCCGGATTTTGAGAGACGGAAGCTCCACAATCCAATCTCTTGAACTGGCTTTCCACAGCTTCATTTCAATATCTACCGTCTTTTCATCAATCTGCCCTCTACCGACTTCAGCAATTTTGATCTGGTAGCACTGGGTAGATTGCAGAATGAACGATAGATATTGAACAGGGCTAGGGAAAGCGTAACGGGGGACTACAAAAATACAATAAAACGGCCCTTGTTAGTAAAAAAGGTAGACCTTTGTGGGGCAAAATGTGCATTAAAAAAGGGTAAAAAACGAGCGTCGTCAGGTAGAACGGCATCCAGAAGTGAACAGTAGAGACCGATACTGGTCAAGACCCATACCGATCTGATGATATGGCTGGTCATAGTTACAGAGACGGAAAGTATGCAAATCGTATAAGTACAACTTGTGTTTAGTTTATTTTTGCTACTTTTGCATTGTTAGCCACAGCAGGTAGCATGGTGTACACTCAGTGCTCCCCTGATTGACGAGTCACCTATGATGGTGGGACTTAAATTTCGCCTCCCGAAACTTCACTTTTAAAAAAAAAATGTTTTTTTGACATTTCCTCAAACTACCTTTTATTCAATACATTAGCAAACGTAGAACAATGAAAAATACATGTAAAGCATGCAAAGTCTATTACAGGTCTGAGCATTCGTTGTTCATCTATAAAGTTGACTATACACATTCAGCACATTTCCAGTGACAGCGTGATGCTGGGCTCTTTGCATGACCATATACGGGAATTGCAGTAACATAATTTGGGCGATTCATGACTCGTTTATCGAGCGGGCTGTCATTTAGATATATCAAGAAGCTTTACCGTTTGGGGTACTGTTTTGATGAACTGCTTGCTTTCCGTTGTCTGTCTCCAAGACATATACCATAATTATGATTGCTAACAAGCATGAAACAATGTTGAATACTGTTGTTCATGGTTACACAGACGTATCCTATACAGACAAACCAATATAACCTAATCTTGTCGTGGTGCCAGTTATCAATATCAATTTCTTAGCGTTATACCTATAATTTTTAAGTATAGTGTCTCAAAAAGTGTCTACTAAGTACCCATAGATGACTGTTTCTCAAAGGTTTGTGTTTCAATACAGGGTGTCCGCAAAGTTGGGGTTTTCCTTTTCAGAAACAACTACCCTTGAAATAACAAAGGTAATGTGCAGTGAAACGAGGGCGACCAAGTAAAAAAAATAAAGGAAAAAGTACTCACTCTCCAGTTGACGAGAAGGGCTAAGTACGTCTCTGTCCGAAATCATACCGTTCCAACAGAAAATGAAATCAGCTGATGCGCTACCGAGCAGACGCCGGCGGTGGTGCAGACCACGAACAGAGGTAACAAATATGACGGCGTTGCCGCGTTTTCAGTTTTTAGGTAAACGTACTTTATAGGTATTGTTCGAAGTTATCGCCGTTTGATTCAAAAACACAGGTGCGTGCACGACGTAGCCAAGCATCGGTGCAGGATTTGAGTCCCTCCCCCGAATGAAAGCACCAGCTTGTTCAATTCTGAGACGAAGTTCGTCAACCGTATGCACTTCAGTTTTGTACACTAAGCGTTTCATTTCTCCCCAAAGAAAAAAATTACATGGTGGTAAGTCTGGAGATCGCGGAGGCCACGCTACGGGTCCATTACGTCCGATCCACCTATTCGGAAATAATTCATTCAAAAACTCCTACGCACTTCGCATCTAAAATGAGGCGGTGCACCATCGTGCAGAAACCACATTGATTGTCTTACACTTAATGGCACATCTTCTAACAAGGAAGGCAAAATGTTGCGTAAAAAGTCTAGGTATTGCATCCCGTCCAATCGATTTGGGAGAATAAATGGTCCAATGAGCATACCGTTCACCATGCCAGCCCAAACATTCACCGAAAATGTTTGTTGAAAATGTGCCCGACGTACAGCGTGCGGATTTTCTACTGACCAAACATGAGCGTTCGAAAGTTATTCACCCCATTACGCGTGAACGTAGATTCGTCTGTCACCAATATGCACTTCAAAAAGTCCGGATTATTGTCATGTTGATGCAACAACCACTCACAAAACCGCACTCTTGCTGGAAAATCGTCAGGTTGAAGGGCTTGTACACGTTGGACGTGAAACGGATACAGCCCCTCTTCACGCAGCGTTTGCCACACTTTAGTTTTTGATACTTGCACTTCTCTAGCCACGTCTGTAGTGCTTGTTGAGGGATTCTCGTCTACGCGATTACCTCTACACGCGTGATCATAACCGTCGGTTGAAGGTTGCATACTGACCTGACACACTGACACCGACCCAGTTCTGTCGTCGGGTTGAGCCAGTGACCTTGTACCATTCGGTGATGTCGCGGGTCGCGGCTACAGGACGGTATTCAGATATTTTTGATGTTGCAGAGCCCTTTATCTCGGTTCCCTTAAGACATTGGTGTATATGGTACTAAGAAAAATTGCTTATGTTTTCAAGATCTACACGTCGTGTAAAGGAAAACCCCAACTTTGCGGACACCCTGTATTTTTATAGCTACTGACTCCAAGCCGAATGAAAGTTTATGCTAATCAGTTATCATGGATGCTAACATATGCTGTTTTTCTTTCCAGTCATCAGCTTGGTCCGCGCACTCTCCCAGGCCCCTTTGCCAGCGATGCCCCAACCATCGGGCGTGCACTTAGCCTGCACCGCTTTATGCTGCTGCCTGGTGCTGACCTCAGTGGGTAGCACCGCCCCGCAGCAGAGTTCGCTGGGTAGGCTCCGCCCATTGGACATGTCAGCTGATCCGGAAACTGTCGCCTACCTATTGCCACGCCTCGCTGACAAGTACCGCCCGAGTAGGGAGTGGAGCGGTGTCACTGACCCCAGGTTTTACCTGCTGACTGAGTATGACGACCCGGCGGCCGAGACTAATGGAATTGCGGATGAGGATGCCGGACAGGTGAGCGGTAGTTCTTAGTTAGGTAGTGTCTATAGATTAATTGATAGGTTTTACCAAGCTGAGGGTAGTATAATAAATACATAATTGCAACCAAAACACACAGCGATTATTCCAACATGGCATCAAAACTTTTGAGTGTGCTATTGGGGCTATTACATAGAGCTATAAAAGCCCGGTCCAACCCCTATTCATATTTATTCATATCTCAGGATTTTCATTATTATTTGCATCAAAGATTACTATGTCTCCTGGACTAAATATTTTATGTATGTATATGAACATGATATGCAGTGGCGACGCGTGACTTTTCCTAAACTGTTACCAAAACCAGATGTGAAAAATCTTAGTATAAAAAGTTCATTTTGAACCTCCCAAATATAAGTTTTTGCTTATTTTAGGTATTTTATTTAAGCTATTTTTAAATTAAGGTAAACATCCCTGGACTGAGCGTCTGGGGCACTTGATATACCTCATCGTCTTATGCTATAACTAATCCAAGCCGTCCAAAAAAACAGTCGACGTTTCTAGATGTTTTGAAAATTTTTGATCTTTTTTGGCAATGAATCTTAACGATTCCCTGTAATTTCCTTGTTTGTCAGAATCATTCCTTCAAAATGAACGGTAATTCCTGTTTTGCCAAAAAACATACGGTATATACGGTATCTAGAAGTGTGCTGCCTAAAAGCTTGGTTACGACAACTTTCGATTCTTGTTTTGCCAAACTGAATTAAATTGGCTACACATCTCACATGTAACGGAGAAATTTCATGTCTCCTCTTTAGAGCCCTAAAACTATTTAACTCGTTGACTCCGCATTTTATTCTGTATAAAACAGAAGACATCGCCAACAATACAATCTGTTTTTTACAACCACATAAACAAGAGTTTCCATATACCAACTTAATTTAGAGGCGTTGGTCTTCCATTTTCAATGATCTCTTTTTTTTCTTAAAAATTATACAATAAAAATGACTTTTCAAGTAGTTGATCGATTACGCAGCGACACTCATCGATGTTTAATTGCACGCATACTACAGCAGGTAACATAACCGGCTACTAACGAGTGAGAAGTGAGCAACCAAATCAAAAAATGGTAACAAGTCCACATAATAGTGGCAGCGCCCCACACACTCGGGCGACCGCGATCAGACACGAGCCGGTACCGACGGTCCCCGACAGACTACCAAGTGTATCCATAAATGAAAATGGTAACAACCGACAACCAGGTCTAGGCGGGTCAGCTTCAACGTGTTCGCAAAACCTAGACACTATAAAATATTTATTTTTAAGATTTTTAACTGTTACCAATGGTAACAATGGTTACATGGACGCTTCGCCACTGATGATATGGTGACGTTCTATCCATATCCAGAACAAACAAACAACAACAAATAAAGGCGTTATTAATATTATTATTAAAAATAATTGGCCGGTTCCTCCAGCAGAAAAGTTCATTTTCAATGCAGAGATTCATTAATTATATGGTTAAGACGTGGTTATACAAATACTGTATGAGTTTTATTCAACAGGCAATCAAATAATATATATCATCTATTAAAAATTAAATAATGTGAAGGTGAAAGATACCTCATTACCGACAATATAGAGAAAAATAATAGGATTTACATTTTGTGCACCAGGGACAGGATTACTTGTCGCTACCGTTTTGTAATGGAGTCAGAGAAACTTTATTTATGAACGAAAATTGTATTACAAACTAAAATTTGAACGTTTTTTCATGTTTCAACATAGTCGCCATAAACATTTAAAAATTCGTCAATTCTTGACACCAGCTTTTGTGTTCCGTCGCAGCCTAACCTATTAGTAACTGTTTCTTTCAACATACCATCATTTTCCAGGCGCCTCCCACCAAGAAATACCTTGAGTTCCGGAAAAACATGTAACTCTGATGGTCAGGGCTATATGGTGGATGATCCAGTAATTCCAAATAAAAGTTGTCCAGTTGCGTCTGTGTTCTTGCGTGAGGCCGAGCGTTGTTATGAATCAGAATGTCGCCGCTCGAGAGCAGGCCTTGCTGGCGGTCTTGAAAGCGCGCCTAAGCTTCATTAATGTTTAATTGCACCTCTCAGTATTTATGGCAGGAAGACCTGTTTGCGTTTATAAACTGAATTACTGAATGCAATACACAATTGGCGGGTTCACTGAGTCACATCGCGACAAACTACGCAACTACCACCGACAGAGCCTTGAAACGTAATGGCGGCGTAGAGAAAAACTGGCCAAGAGTGTCTGAGGTTGAACGGACGTCACGTGACAGGTTGCGCGGGCACAATAGAAGGGATGTGAAACATAAGTAAGATCAGTTAAAGCCTTGTGCCAATGGAAGGTTTGATTTAGCACTAAGAGACCAACACGAGATTTTTTTTTTTTTAAAACTTCACCGAAAAATCGGTTAAAATTTTTCCCCGAACAATGGTGAATGTGCTACCTTCTTTTTGACAGAAATGGTGAAAGTTCGGCCTTTCCGTCCCGTTCCGAACACAAGTCTGTTTAAGGTAGCCGTGAGGCATTGCTTCTCATCGCCTATTATCATACTTGTTTTAATTGTGCTGTATTAATGAGTCTTCACCAGGTTAAGACGTAGATAAGTTTTGGTTGCATGTATCTCGAGTGAAAAAAAACGTAACAGTGATACTCTCAGCTTGAAGGAAACCGTTAACTATTTATGGTTTTAAATTTAGATGTTTATGACAATTTATAAATATATTTATTTCAAATGTAATTCAACCCAGTTTATGAATAAGTAGTTAAGTGCTAATTTATTCCCTTTTCTGTTGATGTTTGGCACTATTTCTGTCATTAACCTTCCTCCATTCTCCATAATTTTTTTACGTCTACAACTCGATACTCAAAAGTACTGGTAGATAAAGATGACGGACTTTCATTATGTATGAGCATCCATTTCCTCAGTTCATCAGTACTTGAAATATAGTTACAAATGCTAAATTTTGCATGATTACAATACTTTTCCGCATAACTTTAGAAATAAATCAATTCAAAATCACTATAGAAACAATTTGGTGTACGATGGTGCAAGTTATTAGAGTATGGCAGGATTATTACGCAAAAAAAATAGCTAATGTCAAAAACCCAATAAAATTACAACTTGTTGGCTAAGTAGGCTAGTGTGCAAATACGAGTAGTTCATTCCGCGCTTGCTACAAGTGAGCATGCAGTGAACGATAGCTAGTTCCAAGTTAACGTCTTGTAGAAAAACCTACATAATACGCCTTTTGAGGAGTTTTCTATCCACTTTTATCAGCATTCCTTTCAAAAATGTATATAAACCCATATACAACACCGTAAATAAATATTAACAGAACTCACAAACATATTGCATAAACTGAATTACATTTTCTCTATTCAAATATATGAAAAACTGATCAAATCGCTTTGACGTGTTCTCATAATCTGTTCCGAATCTATATACTTAGCTTTCTCGTATTTACCATGAATTTTATAGCTCCATCAGGATATAACGTGCGTATAAGTCAACAAAAGAAATACGTGGGGCTTTCGATTCAAAGCTAACTGAGAATAAATTAGATCAGATTTATTTCACCTTACAAAGTATAGTGACAACGGCAAAGTTAGGCCTCCTAAATCAAATTAACAAAATATAGTCGAACATTTACATTCAAAATATAAATTTTAGAAGAAATGTTTTTATTGAGAATAAAAACAATCAGAATTTTGAGAGTACTGGCTTTGGTGATATTGCATGACAACCGCGGAAACCAGATGTGTCCCTTATGAACTTGTACCTGTAGAGAGATCTCAAAACCAAAGGGTGCGCCAATACTTTGAAGAATATGGTGGATATTCAAATGGCATAACCTTAAGGTATATACGCATTTCTGGTACTTTGTGTGACATTTTTAATTTTAGTTTGGTAATCCTAACTCTTATGTGAGACTGTGAGACATTCTGCATGAAATATGGCGACAAATTGACATGTTTGGGGCACACAATCTGAAACAGCCACAGAAGAGACACTCTTGTTCTTGAGATCAAATTGTAACAAGTGCGTTTTTAACACACAAAAAGCCCGTCCGCAGCAACTAAAAGGAATGAATTCTTATTGTGCTATCAAGACGAGTCGACAGACACTTCAAATCTCTAAATCCATCCAAGCTGTTTGAGCTGTATCCTGTGAATAGAGATTTCGAAGTTGAAGTTTAAAATTAATTTAATTAATTTTGATTCTTTTGCTAAGACGAATCCCGCAACACTTCCTAAGTCAAAATCCATCAAGCTGTTGGAACCATAGCCCGTTAAATAGAATTTTTCGTCCACATAAAGGCGTTTTCACGCGCAAAAAAACATACCCTCCTTCTCTAACCTAGTATGCCCAACACATAGTTATAGTACATACCTATATTTGAAATTATTCGAATTGTTATTATTATTTAAACAATTGGCTGCTTTTATTTATTTGTAGGCGGTTGACCACGATCCAACTTTCCAACTTAGTGCAGTGAAAGTGATTTTCCTAGGGAATATTAGTTTACTGTGAAGTGATTTTTCTTTACAGCCGTGTGTAAGTATCAAAATTTAGGCAAAATGTGTAGAAACGCATCTTGTGTTATGTTGTAGAACTTATTGATTATATTTCGTTTATAAGGTTCAACTGATTGTGAATGGTCCAATCGTGAAGTCATTTTTAGTAAAATATTTTTAAATCGATGTCTTTAAAAACCTATGTGAACTATTTTCCGAATTTGAAAACTTTTTTCCAGTCAACTGATGGCTGGAAAAATTCTTGGGGATGAGTAAAGAAGCACTTAGACTCAGAAATAACTGCAACTGGAACTCTTATCAGAACCATCGCAATAGCCCTACGATTAAAATTCACAATTAATTGAACATCTACAGTTGTCGCTATGATTCCTTGAATGAGCCCGTTCTCATAACCATTTTAAAATAGCTTTATTGAAAGTTTTAAAAATATATATTTTGTTTATAGAGGTGAAGTTATA